GCCTTAGCATATCATTAGCACATTACACTTTGATTGCTTGAACAGACGACCGGACACTTAGCATATTAGGCTTTTATTATATAGGATTATAAACATTTTAAAGTGCTTAGTTGCCAGGCACTGTTTGAAGCATTATGTGAGCACTTGCTATTACTTTCAACCTAAGAAAAATAAACTGTATATGAAAAATTTCAGGGTATTTTACATTGGAAACTAGATGCTGAGCTTTGTTTTGAGAATTTTTGCCCCAGAAATAAAATCTAATCTAATAAAAGAGAAACATGGTAATTGGTATACGATCGCTACCCTTCCCATTGGCTAATCAGGGCGATATGCAAATTAACTGCCAGCCAAGATGGCGGCCGGCAGCCAGGCAGCTTGAAACTAACATGAGGCTTGCTTGCTTCAGTGACGGAGGACTCCAACATTCCCCGCCTGCCGCTACCGGTCTCTGAGCCTGCAGTTTAAGAAACATTGTAACGAATATAGAAGGTAAACAAAACCCCAGAAACCAGCTTTCAGCGAGCTGGGATCTCAGAGCTGGAGTTATACATTGTTTCGATTACCTACTTTCAGCAGCTGGAGGCCTAAGAGCTGGAGCCTCAGAGCTAAAGCTGGCCCAGAATTGAAAAAAAAAAAAAAAAAAAAAAAAGAGCCAAAACCGGTTTGGCTCAGTGGATAGAGCATTGGCCTGCAGACTGAAAGGTCCCAGGTTCGATTCCCGTCAAGGGCATGTATCTGGGTTGCGGGCACATCCCCAGTAGGAGATGTGCAGGAGGCGGCTGATCGATGTTTCTCTCCCATCAATGTTTCTGGTTCTCTGTCTCTCTCCCTTCCTCTCTGTAAAAAATCAATAAAATATATTTTAAAAAAAAAATTAAAAAAAAAAAAAAGAAAAAAAGGAGCGGTTGGGAGCTTCCGTCACCCGCCAGCCTGAAAGCAGCCCTCAGCCCCTCACCCAGACTGGCCAGGCACCCCAGTGGGGACCCCCACCCTGAAGGGTGTGTGACCAGCTGCAAACAGCCATCATCCCCTCACCCAGGCTAGCCAAGCACCCCAGTGGGGACCCCCACCCTGAATGGTGTGTGACCAGCTGAAAACAGCCATCATCCCCTCACCCAGGCTGGCCAGGCACCCCAGTGGGGACCCCCACCCTGATCCAGGACACCCTTCAGGGCAAACCAGCCAGCCCCACCCATGCACCAGGCCTCTACCCTATATAGTAAAAGAGTAATATGCCTCCCAGCACCGGGATCAGCGGAGCCGAGAGACCTCCCGGCACCGGGATCAGCGTGACAGGGGGCAGCGCCCAAACCCCCTGATCACCCTGCGGCTCTGTGTGTGACAGGGGCGGGGCCACAACCTCCCTATCTGCCCTGCTCTGTGGCTGATAGGGGGAGCTCCCCAACCTCTGATCGCCCTGCGGCTCTGTGTGTGACAGGGGGCAGCGCCCCAATCCCCTGATTGGCCCTGCTCTGTGCGTGACGGGGTGGCGCCGCAACCTCCCCATAGACCCTGCCTTGAGTGTGACAGGGGGCGGTGCCCCAACCCCCCAATCGGCCCTACCCTGAGCGTGACTGAGGGTGGCATAGCAACCTCCCAATCCGCCCTGCTCTGTGCATGACAGGGGGCGGCGCCCCAACTCCCCAATCGGCCCTGCTCTGAGCCCGACCAGGGGCTGCACCTAGGGATTGGGCCTGCCCTCTGCCACCCGGGAGCGGGCCTAAGCCAGCAGGTCGTTATCTCCCGAGGGGTCCCAGACTGCGAGAGGGCATAGGCCAGGCTGAGGGACCCTCCCTTCCCCCCGAGTGCACAAATTTTTGTGCACCGGGCCTTTAGTGAATATATAAATAAGATGATGTTATAGTTTTCCTTTTGTAATAGGTGTCAGTAGTATCAGTATAAAAAAGCACCTACCAGATGGTAAGTTTAAGGGCAGAGACTATTTCTGACACCCTGTTTCATGTAACATCATTGGGTCTATTTGTTGTATCATTTAATTATTATCATTAATAGGCTATTAGAGAGGTGAGACTACAAATTCACTTGCTACAATGTGTGACTGCCAAGTTGCCTGCTACCAGAAATAACTCTTTCAATAACTCTTTAAATAAAGTGGTTCTTAACTTTAGGAAGTCATGGACTCCTTGGAGATTTTTCCCTCCAAGAAAAATAGAGGACATGTACATTCAATTTGAGTGCAATTTCAAGGGGGTTCTAGAACCCCAACTGTGGACCCCAGGATAAGACTTATACTCTGAATGGAGCTGAAGAGTTCCCCTCTCTGCTCATTGTTACCTTTCTATTTGAATTGAGATACCATTCTTTTGTATAAACAAAATCATGAGAACAAAAATGCCAGCTTTTCTAAACACTAGAACAAATAGACCACATAAAGATTATATATATTATGTGTGTGTTTATGAATGACTCATAAAGTGAGATAAGAAAATTCTGTTATTTTTAGGAAGGAAAGAATTAAAAATATACATATGTACACATATATGTTTATATACATTTTATATATGCATGTGTGTATATATACACACATATATGTTGATGGATGTGTGTGGATGTATGTCCTTATACTTAAAACAATGGTGGAATAAAAAAATTTAAAGAATTACCTAAAGAGAGCGTGATAGAGGGAATAGGATGTAAAGGATAGTGATAGAAGCTAGACTTTTTTGAAGAGAGAGAGAATTTTGGAGCCATGTAAATATTTTACAAAATTAAAAGAAAGTTAAATTTTAGTAAGTAATTCTCTCCATATCAACTAAAAAATGTAAAAAAGCAAACCTATGTTTGTAGATTTTGGTATTGCCATGCAGAGAGAAATTATCCTAAGTAACTTTAAAACACAGTAATTTGACTACATTCCTAGAGGAATCTCCCTTCACAACAACAACAACAAAAATAACCCCAAAACAAAAAAACTGTTTTCAGTAATCATTTTGTTGATGCTAGTATTGGTATTATTTGTTTAAATTGGTAATAAAGCAAATGAGTAATTATATTGGTGACTTGAGAACTGGAAAGAGATGAGGCAGAGGAGGGTAATTAAAAACCCTGTAGTCCTGAATTTAAGTTTGACTAATGAGTGAGAACTTAAAAAGTTTCCTTTCTTTTTAAAAAATAGTTCTCTCCTAGCTTTGTCCACTGAAAGTTCTAGAAATAATGACCAAGCCAGTAGAGTGACCACCACTAGTGCTCAGTCTCCAAATACTATTTGTAAATACTATTGGTTTTTAGAGACCTACTGATTCCAAGTCTGAGTCAGGAAATGTACACATGAGCCTGGAGCATCAGGCCATACCAGAAGTAAAGAAACTACTAAAAAACATTCAAGTTTTGTCTAAAGCAGAGGTGGGGCATGTCCAGCCCATGGGCTGCATAAGGCCCATGAAATCATTTGGCCCAGCCCTGCCAAGGCACTAGGGGTGAGTTAATTAAATGTTTGATCAAATATAGCAGGCTAATTTTTAAGTTGATAATTTTGTATGGCCCGCAAATGATGTTATAAATATCCAAATAGCCTTTGGCAGAAAAAAGGTTCTCTACCCCTGGTCTAAAGCATTCCAGAACCAACTTGAATAGGCTCCCACTGGACAAAGGACAGGTTAACCACCAATAAGGAGAAATACTGTAATGGATGAAAAAATGCATTTTAAAATTTTTGAGTTACAGGAATATGTAAAAACAAACAAAAACCTTTAGAGCATACTAGGGAACCAAATAATTGTTTTAGGGAAATGATCAGGTGTTTTATTTTGCCTTTCATATAATGAGCAATTTTCAGAGTAGCCAAATAGTCGGTGAGGGGAAATTTTTCATTTTGGGGGTATTCCTGCTGATAAATGAAGACAGAATGCTAGCAATGTTCTCTCGAAAGTACACAACCAACCTCTGAAATGTTCTTTATAAACAAAATATAAAACCCTGAATCTGATCGAGCCTCTAGTTCTAACTACTAATTTACAGGAAAGAGAAGAGACAAAGGAACATGTTCAATTATACCATGGGGATTCATTCAGCAGAAAAACAGACTGTGGGAAACTGCAGAATAAATGACTCACTTTTTCCCCCAACAAATTGCAAAGGGTAAAAAAATGATGGAGGACAAATCTATAGATTAAAAAAGATTTAAGAAACATATTAACCAATTGCAATGTAAGAATCTTCAATTTTGTTTTAAACTGGAGGATAAAAAGAACATTTATGGGTTAATTGAGGGAACGCTACCTTGATTTGTGTGTTTTTTAAAAAATATATTTTTATTGTTTTCACATAGAAAGGGAGGGAGAGAGAAACATCAATGGTGAGAGAATCATTGATCAGTTGCTTCCTGCACATCCCCTACTGGGGATTGAGCCCCCAACCCCGGGCATATGCCCTGACTGAGAATCAAACATGACCTCCTGATTCATAGGTCAATGCTCAACCACTGAGCCATGCCGGGTGGGCACTACCTTGATTTTTAATAATATTAAAGATTTGTTGAGTGTGAGAGAGGTAGTCTTATTGTATCTGTTTTTTAAGAGGAGTTTTTGTCTTTTAAAGGTAGATGTTGACATATTTATAGTTGAAATGATACACTGCCCGGGATCTGCTTCAAAAGAATACAGGATTGAGTAGGGAGATGTATGGAATGCTATAGAAGGAACAAACGCAGCCATGAGTTGAGAATTTTTGAAGCTTGTTGATAGGAATATGAGGATTCATTGTTTTATTTTCCCAACTTTTGTATAAGTTTTAAATTTTTTACTATGGGAAAATTAAGAGTAAAAATCTGACCACAGCTCCTCCATAATAATGACTTAAAACAAAAACCCGGTAACATAACTTAACTTTTTATTTCCTTATGATCAAGTTTATCACCTTTCTTTTTTTAAATAAATGTTTATTTTGTATTGATTTTAGATTTAAAGTAAAATTGTTAAGATAGTACAGAGAGTTCTTGTTTACCCTTTCCTCATTATCTCTCTATTAATGTCTTATAGTACCGTGCTACATTGGTAAAACCTAGGAAACCGACATTGGTACGTTACTACTAACTAAACACCAGACTGGATTTCACTAGTTTTTCCATTACAGTCCTCTTTCTGTCCAGGATCTAATCCAGGGTACCACATTAGCATTTAATTGTCCTGTCTCTCTAGTCTTCTTTGGTTTGTGACAGTTACTTAGTCTTCCTTGTTTTTCATAATCTTGATAGTCTTGAGTACTGGCCAGTATCCTGTAAATGTCCCCCAATCTAGGTTTGTCTGATTGTTTTTTTGTTTTTGTTTTTTTTTAAGATTAGACTAGGGTTGTGAATTTTGGGAAGAGTACCACAGAAGTAACTAGCTCTTGTCATCACATTTTATCAGGGGATGCTATCACCATGACATCACTAATGATATCAACTGTCATTGTTTCCACTGTCAAGTTACTGTTTTTCTCTTTCCCTGCTCTATTCTTTAGAAGCAAGTCACTAAGTCTAGCCCACCCTCAAGTGGGGGATATTAAGACCCTCCCCGCTTCCCACAGTGCAGTGACTCACTAGAACTCAAGGACATAGCATATGGTTGTTGTGGGGGCTCAGTGTTCTGGCAAAGGAATACAGAGCAAAGTCATCAAAGTGAACAAGTGCACGGGGAGGAGTCTGGGTGAAACTAGGCAGAAGCTTCCAAGAGTCCTAGGGTTCACACGATATGTTCTTCATTCCTTAGCAGTGAGCTGTGACAACACGTGTGGAATGTTATCCATCAGGAAAACTTGCTTTAGCCTAGGAGTCCAGGGTTTTTACTGGGGACTGGCAGGTAGGCAATCTCTGCATAGTTTGTATCAAATTCCAGACTCACGGAAGGAAAGTGGTGTCTTATCATTTATAGAAAGTTTTATATCAGTGAAAGGAACTATTTACTGGTCAAGTTCCCAGCCCACAGCCAAAGGCCAATCTTGCAAGCAGGCCTTTCTAAGGATAGTAATCTTAGGCCTTCAGTGTTAGCTCTTTTCTGCACAGGGAAGTGTCCTCATATTACCTTTACTTCATACTTTTACTTGAGAAAAATGGAACCAGGTAAAAAATAGTATAAATAAGATGGTAAGAATGAAAAAAAATTTAAAATCAAATCAAGGGCATCTCATATATTTTTTTGCTGTACAGAATGAAATATGTCACAGTTTAGGCCTCATTTTTTGTCTTTATTTCTCATGCCCATTAAAAAATATATATATCTTTATTTATTTCGGAGAGGGAGAAAAAGATAGAAACTTCAATGATGAGAGAGAATCATTAATCAGCTGCCTCCTGAACAACCCACACTGGGGATCAAGCCCACAACTCAGGCATATGCCCTGACCTGGAACCAAACCGTGACCTCCTGGTTCATTGGTCAATGCTCAACCACTGAGCCACGCCGGCCAGGCTCTCTTGTCCATTTTAAAATATTGCTATAAAAATTATTACTCATATTGCAACTTTTCAACTTTTGAAGCATTTCATAATAATAAAAAAATGTCTCCAGATTGTGTGTCATCTCATTTATTGCCAAGTAATTAGAAGAAGGCCTTGTAAATTTTAGTAATAAGTAATAACATAACAACCAAAACCTGGGTGGAAATCCCAGAAAGTAATTACTAAGATTTAAACACAATATGTACTAGTCACTTATTTTCTTTTGATAGGAAAAACGTGGTCTTCGAGAAATGCGAGTTCTTGAGAATTTGAAGAATATGATCCTTGAAACAAATGAACATACTCTTCCCAAATGTAGAGAAACAATGCAAGACAACTTAAACCAAGTTCTCCAGAGATGTAAGCCAGCTATTTTCTTATGTTGCTTTATTTCACATGAGATCTATGCCAAAATGTATCTTTTTGGGTATTTGGTGGGAGTTAGAGAGGATAGAGATAGATGGCCTGTCTCAGAGGAAGTGCTTATCTAGTGACTAATGTGTATTGCCATTGATGTTGAGAGCCTTAATCTCCAAAGTGAGATGTGTGTGTCTGCAGTGCACAAGATTATTTATCCTTTTAGGATGTGAGAAAATTGAAACATATTTACCTTAAAAAATTTATCCATTAGAAAAAGTTTGATAACCAAGATTTAGGATCTGAAATAAAATGTTTTCAAATAGGATATTAGAGTGTGTTTTTTAACTTAAAAAAATAATCCTGTTATAATATTAGTATTTTATTATTTTCATTAAGCAAAATATTTTACTTTGAAGACATAGTTAATCAAAAAGAATATTTATTAAACATGTCAAATCATAGCATAAAAGGAGTTTTATTAATAATTGATTTTAAAATTAGAAGTATATCAGAAATACAAGGCTGCTCCTTGCATATATATTGACACTATTCAGCTTGTCCAAGGATAATGCTGGTAAATAATGATGGATTACTGAAGTGCCAAATAAAATGTCTTTCAGGCCCTAACCAGTTTGGCTCAGTGGATAGAGCGTTGGCCTGCGGACTCAAGGGTCCCAGGTTCAATTCCGGTCAAGGGTATGTACCTTGGTTGCAGGCACATCCCCAGTAGGGAGTGTGCAGGAGGCAGTTGATCGATGCTTCTCTCTCATCGATGTTCCTAACTCTCTATCCCTCTCCCTTCCTCTCTGTAAAAAATCAATAAAATATATTATAAAATAAAATGTCTTTCAGGCAGGGAGGAAGGAGAGAAAACTGGTCAGTGACGGAAAGCAGCTAAGAGACCTTGGCTAGTAATTGAGTTAAGTCTTTATGTGCAAGTCCAAGTTAGTCTTGTGTACTCTGATGTTAAAAGGAGATTGGAGAGGAAAAATCCCCTAAGGTCACGTTTGGTTTCTTTGAGGGGAGCAACAAGAAATCTAAAATTAACCTCAGACTTTTGCATTTTACTACAAACTTGCCCTTGTTTGTTCTCACTGTCACTTCCTTAACCTTGACAAACATTCTAGACATTATGCTACAAATAAAACTAAAATTATTATTAATAAGAATGCTTATGTATGCATTTGAACTCTGCCTGTAACTTGCCTTTTCTACATTTTGAGAATATAAAAATAAATTAGGTAAAACTTGGTAAAAATCTATAAACAGTTATTTGACTTGCTTCATTCTTGGGCTAAAGTTATTTCTGATGTGAAGATTGGCCTCTTAAAAGTAGAGTCTTCAGCCCAGTTGGTGTGGCTCAGTGGTTGAGCATCGACCTATGAACCAGGAGTCACGGTTCAATTCCTGGTTAGTAGGGGGCCTGCCGGAGGCAGCCAGTCAGTGATTCTCATCATTGATGTTTCTATCTTTCTCTCCCTCTCCCTTCCTCTCTGAAATATATATAATTTTAAAGTAGAGTCTTCACAGTGCATTAAAAAAGTATTATCCAGCCGAAGCCGGTTTGGCTCAGTGGATATAGAGCGTCGGCCTGAGGACTGAAAGGTCCCAGGTTCGATTCCGGTCAAGGGCATGTACCTGGGTTGCGGGCACATCCCCAGTGGGAGGTGTGCAGGAGGCAGCTGATCAATGTTTCTCTCTCATCGATGTTTCTAACTCTCTATCTCTCTCCCATCCTCTCTGTAAAAAATCAATAAAATATATATTTAAAAAAATATATATTATCCAAAATTTAAATGTATTCTCCTAAAAGGAAGAATTAAAACACAAAATGCAAAGTTAATAATTAAGGTTTTGACATATACAGACTTCTTTGGGTCTCATTGTTAGCTTTAGAAACTAGTCAATGATTTTTGGAACTCAGTAGGCTCCAATATAAGTATTTTCATGTAGTACTCATCCTGAACAGCACAGGTATAATGGAGATAATTACCTGCTTTTTAAGCTGATGTAGTTTAAAAATTCACCTGCCCAGCTGTTGTTCTTGGGGAATTTCATGTTTAAAAACTTGACATTTTAAGTCATAGTGCTGGCTTATTTATTTTCACTGCTAACTGATCAGAGAGTTGTGCAAGATCATGCAAGTGAATTTATTATATATGGAATATATTCTGATCTAAGTTATACTTTACAAGACTAGTGATGAGTTGAGTTTTGTTCTGTGCCTGTTAGAACTGCCACATTAGTCTCTTCTATGCATGCTTGAGAGCTGTGCTGGCAGTGCCATCAGCTGCATCTCAGAACTATACTGGTATGGATCGTGGTCTAACATGATGCACAAAACTAAATAGCTGTGCAACAGTAAAGTGGGGACATCTCGAATTATTTGAATGAGACCAGTTACGGAATCTGCAGCTCATAATTGTTTCTGCTTTTGGCTGTGTAGCGCCACCTATCTTGCAAAGTGTGTTTGTGTGAGCAGAGCCTTTAAAACTAACACTCTCCTGTGGATCCTTAACACCACAAAAATAAACAAGAACTCTAGGACAGGAGAGAAACCAAGATGGCGGCATAGGTAAACACAGGAAATTGCTGCCTCGCACAACCACTTCAAAAATACAACTAAAAGACAAAATGGACATCATCCAGAACCAAGGAAGGCTGGCTGAGTGGAAATTCTACAACTAGAAGGAAAGAGAAAAGCACACTGAGACTCAGAGGAGGTGCAGAGGCGCACATGGAAAGGGCTGGCAATTGAGGACAGGGTTGTCTTTTTCAATCGGGAGGGAGACACACGCTCCCGCACTGAACTCCAGTTCTGGGCTAGTCTCTGGGGACCCACACTCATACGGGGAGAAGCTGGACTGTCTGGCATTGGGCGGAACTCGAGGGCGGCTTTCTCTCAGAGGTGCTTGCGGTGATTACCGCGGGACACTGAGACCTGGGGCCTCCTGGGGCAGGACTGAGGATCAGCCATGGCTGTTTGCTCCACCCTATTGATTCCCTCGGACCCTGCCCCACCCAAGCTGTGCGCAGAGGCTTTTGCATATGGATGACCTGGCCCTTTGCAATCTAAGATTACCTAACAAACTGCATCTGGGTCAGAGAGACCCAGAACATCCAAAAGAAGGCCCCGGGGCTCCACAGCAGCTTGCACTGCTTCACAGCTGGGGCTCATCTGGGCACCTCCAAATCCCAAACAAAGAAGAGGAATCTGCGGATCTCTCTGTGGCTCCTACTGGGTAGCCTCAGGAAGAGGCTAAATTAGCACCTCCTTAGAGATCCAAGAGCCAGTGTACCCAGTGGTCAGAGTGGGACCATCCAGATTACAACTCCTCATATCCATAAGGGACACACTCAGGGGGCAGACTCAGTGAGCACCAAAGCCCCACTGAAGCAAGACTTGCCCCAGAAGGGTGTCTCCAGCACAGAAGTTCTCCCACCATAGACACAGCCGATTCTCACAGCCAATTGGCCTGGAGGTCAATTCCTCCCGGTGATACCAACTACAATCAACGCTTAACTACGGCAAGACTGTGCACGCAGCCCACGAGGGGTCCACCAAGAGTGTCCACGTCAGGTAATTGGGGAGGCTGAGCTACTGGGCCCTATAGGACACCTAGCACAGAAAGCCACCCTATCAACACAGAAGCCAAAATGCAGAGACAAAGAGACAGGTCACAAATGACAGAAATGGAGGAGGGCAAGCTTCTGGATATATAGAGTTCAAAACCACAGTTGTAAGGTTTTTCAAGAGTTTTCTATAAACCGCTGATAAATTTAGTGAGACCCTCAATAAATCTAGTGAGACCCTGAGGATATGAAAAAGGACCAAATAGAAATTAAGCATACACTGACTGAAGTAGAGAATGTTATGCAGAGATCCAACAGCAGACTAGAGGATCGCAAGAATCAAGTCAAAGTTTGAAATACCAAGAAGTCAAAAACACCCAACCGGAAAAGCAAAAAGAAAAAAGAATCCAAGAATATGAGGATAGTGTAAGGAGCCTCTGGGACAACTTCAAGCGAACCAACATCCGAATTATAGGGGTGCCAGGAGAAGAGAGAGAGCAAGATATTGAAGGCCTATTTGAAGAAATAATGACAGAAAACTTCCCCTTCCTGGAGAAAGAAATAGACTTACAAGTCCAGGAAGCGCAGAGAACCCCAAACAAAAGGAATCCAAAGAGGACCACACCAAGACACATCATAATTAAAATGCCAAGAGCAAAAGACAAAGAGAGAATCTTAAAAACAGCAAGAGAAAGAAACTCAGTTACCTACAAGGGAATACCCATACGACTGTCAGCTGATTTCTCAACAGAAACTTTGCAGGCCAGAAGGGAGTGGCAAGAAATATTCAAAGTGATGAATAGCAAGATCCTACAACCAAGATTACTTTACCCAGCAAAGCTATCATTCAGAATTGAAGGTCAGATAAAGAGCCTCACAGATAAGAAAAAGCTAAAAGAGTTCATCACCACCAAACCATTATTATATGAAATGCTGAAAGGTATCCTTTAAGAAGAGGAAGAAGAAGAAAAAGGTAAAGATACAAATTATGAACAAGTACATATCTATCAACAAGTGAATCTAAAACTCAAGTGAATAAAAAATCTGATGAACAGAATAAACTGGTGAATATAATAGAATCAGGGGCATAGAAAGGGAGTGGACTGACAATTCTCAGGGGGAAGGGGGTGAGGGGGTTCAGGAAGAGACTGGACAAAAATCGTACACCTGTGATGAGGACAGTGGGGGAGGTAAGGGCAAAGGGTGGGGTGGGAACTGGGTGGAGGGGAGCTATGGGGGAAAAAAAGAGGAACAACTGTAATCTGAACAATAAAGATTTAATTTTAAAAAAGAAGAACTCTAGGACAGCAATTTTCAACCTTTTTCATCTTAGAGCACACATAAACCAATTACTAAAATTCTATGGCACACCAAAAAATATATTTGACAAAAGAAATAGGTATAATTTTGATTCATTCACACCAGAC